CGTGTCTCAACACTGGACACATGGACATCCCTGCCCTTCCTTACATCTTTGGTCCTGAGGAGCTGACCCTGACCAGCTGACTAAGGCAGGACATGAGAGAAAAGAAAACGGAAGCTAAGAAAGGGGCCGTTCCCATGTTCAGTCACCCACCGGCCCTACCCTACCGATTCCGGATTAAATCTCCCAGGAGATGCAAACCAAACAGCTAAAACACGGAAACACTGGTCCTCGCAGCCAAAAACTCTGGGACATCCTCAGGAGAAGTGTTCCACTCACACCCACCCAAGTACCAATCCAAGCACCCACCCCCTCCTGTCTTTCTGCAGAAGCCCAGAAGCCACAACCAGACCCCACCACCGCAGCCACCCCTAGGGCCCAACCCACCCAATATGGCCTTACCAATATTCTCGCAGAGATGACAAACTGTGAATCATCTCAGTTATCACAGGCTGATAACTCTGTTGTTTTGAGGTGTCGAGGTGGACAGCCTACCCTCACCCCCCCTTTTTTTCTAAGATTTATTTATTTATTTTTAATTTTTATTAGTGAAACATAATGAGGTACAGTTGTAGACTTACAAATTTTTGTGCTTGGGTTTCAGTTATACAATGATCGAGTACCCATACCTCCACTAGTGCCCAGTATCCTCCCACCCCCCAGCCCCCTCATCCCGTCCTGCATCTATGGCAGGGCATTTCCTTTTGTTCTCTTTCTCCTTTTGGGTGCTGTGGTTTGCAAAAGAGGCATTGAGTGGCAATCATGTTCGGTCTATAGTCTACTTTCAGCATGCATGGAATCCATAAAGTACATTGAAGACAAAGTTGGCAAAACCCTCCATGACATTGAAGCTAATGGTGTCTTCAAAGATGTCATGCCACTGGCCAAGCAAGTGAAAACAGAGATAGAGAAATGGGACTATCTTAAACTAAGAAGCCTCTGCACCTCAAAAGAAACAGTGATTAAAATACAAATACAGTCTACAGAATGGGAATGGATATTCGCTGAATACGCATCCGACAAGGGGTTGATATCAAGGATATACAAAGTACTGGTCTAACTCCACAAGAAGAAAACATCCAACCCCATCAAAAAATGGGGCAACGAAATGAACAGAAATTTTCTCAAAGAAGAAGTCTGAATGGCTAAAAGGCACATGAGAAAATGCTCTACATCATTAATCATCAGGGAGATGCAGATCAAAACAACAATGAGATATCATTACCACAGAGACTGGCCCTCATCCAAAAGAACAAATGAAACCAATGTTGGCGCGGATGTGGCAAGAAAGGGACCCTCCTTCACTGCTGGTGGGAATGCCGACTGGTTCAGCCCTTTTGGAAAAGAGTATGGTCTATTCTCAAAAAATTAGAAATTGAGCTTCCGTTTGACCCAGCAATACCACTCCTGGGAATATAACTCAGAGAGGCAAAAAAGTATAGTCACAGTAACATCTGCACTTGTTTGTTCATTGCAGCACTCGTTACAATAGCCAGAATCTGGAAAAAACCTGAGTGCCTGAGAACAGATGACTGGTTAAAGAAACTTTGGTACATCTACACAATGGAGTACTATGTAGCTGTTAGAAAAGATGAAGTCATAAAATTTACATACAAGTGGTATTACATGGAAGTATCATGCTAAGCAAAATGAGTCAGAAAGAAAGGGACAGACATAGAAAGACTGCATTCATCTGGGGAACATAAAGTAACAAAATAGGAGACTAACACCCAAGAATAGCCGAGATAAATGCTAGGAGGTTTACTCATGGTTTGGAGGACAGTTGCACATGCTAGGGGAAATGGCAGCTCAGATAGAGAAGGGAGCACTAAATAAAGGGTGTTGGGAGGATCCCCTCACCCCCTTTACTCCTGGAAACCTCAGCAGCCACACCCACCTCCCACAGCTCCACTCATGGGCCCAGAACATGGATCCTGACATCTCTGGACCACACATCACCTCCTAATTGCTCGGGACTGAAATTCCAGGAGGAGCACACCAAGTTAGATGGGAGAGTGACATTGAAGTCAACTAAACTCAACAAGCAAACACAATAACACAGAAGGTTCAACTAGCAACTACAGCTTAATAAATTCTTAGACAAGGAATTAACAACCCTGCCATCAGGTATAACAATTTTCATATAAATTTATTTTTCATATTCATTGATTTTAATATATGAGCTTTGTTATTTAATCAATTTTAATTCTAGAATTGTATCAACAATTATGGATTTTTTTTGCATTAAAATAATTTTTTAATAATTTTTTTAAAAAGTAACCATTCTGATTTTCTTCGTGTATTTCCTTATCATTCTGGGCACAGATTTCATTTGGAGATAATCACTTTAATTGCTTAAAGAGATGGAAAAGAGCTGTGCATTTTTTATTGAGGTACTAGTTTACAATCATGTTCATATCCATGCTTTATGTGTGCAATGTTACCGCATGAGGCCCACTACCAAGTGCCAATGTCTTCCCACACTACTTCTAGGTCCCTTCTTGTCCACTCTCTCTCCCACCCCACCCTCTACATGGAAAACTAGTTTCTCCTCACAGCCTCAGGGTTGTGTTCATTGACCTTAGTCTATTCATTCGCTTTGTTTCTTCATAGTCCATATATGAGTGAGGTTATCAGGTACTTGTCTTTCTCCTGACTAATTTCACTTAGCATGACTCCCTTCTAGTCCAACTCAAGTTGTATAAAAATGGAAACTTTCCCTTTCTTATAACTGAGTAGAATGCTGTAGTGAATATAGACCAGGTCATCCACTCATCTGTTGCCAGGCGCTTGGGTTGTTTCCAGTCTTGATTGCTGTAAATATCACTATAGTTAATATAGGTGTGCATGTATCTTCTCAGACTTTTTGTGTCCTTGGGATAGATGCCAAGGAATGGACTTGCTAGATTATGTGTCAGCTCTACTTTTAAATTTGTTTGGAAATTTCCATAGAGGCTGAACCAAATTACATCCCCATCACACCTGAAAAGGTTTCCTTTCTCTCCACATCTTTACCAGCATTGGTTCTCTTTGGCCTCTTTTGTATCTCACTAGCATGAGGTAATATCTCATTGCCATTGATATTTGTATGTCCTTCATAATCTGTAATGAAAAACACTTTTTCATATGCTTATTAGCTTTCTATATATCTTCTTCAGTGATGTGTCTATTCTGTTCCTCTTTCTGATTTTGGTAGTTTATTTACTTTTTATTTTTGTGAGTTTTTGTATGTGTGTGTGTATATATATGGATATATACACATATATCCATATTCCATATAGGTATGTATGTTATATATAATCTTACTTTCAATCCCACTGGTCTGAGAGTTTTTTTTTTATTCTAGTACCACTCTACCACTCTGGATTCTACTATAGTTTTATAGTTTGGTTTAAAGTTAAGTTAGGGAATGTGATAGCTTCCATCATCTTTTCTTCTCAAAATTGTTTTGACTTTTCAGGGAGTGAAAAATGCTATTTTTAAGTGCTATTTTAAATGCGTAAAGGCATTATAGTGGTAGAGGACATACCTAGGGGCTCAAGAACCCTGGGTCTGGGCAGCCCAGCCTGCCCACATAGAGGCCTGGACAAAAGGCTCAACCTCTTTAGTCTTGGTTTCTTAGCTGTGAAGTGGGGATGATGGTTCACTCAGAGTTCTTAGGTTGTGAGAAATGAATTTGCCTAAGTAGCAGATTGTGCAATCTTACTGGATCATGTAAATATTGGGAATTGTTGAGAGCTGGTCCTATAATCCTATACAATTTACAATCCCACAGAGTCTAAAAGCACCAAAAACTCCAGTGGGGTGTATTGGCACCTGGTTTATAGGTTTAGCTATACTCAACCCTGTGTGGGCTAAGGGCTTCCAATAAAGCTGAGAACTTCCTGCAGTGCTGAGAGGCTGCTCTGAGCAGAGCCTGTAACACCCCAAGGACCCAAGGACACAGCCATTAGTCAGGACAGATAGGTCAAAACATTCCGATACAGTTTTCTTTCAAGGTCTCAAAAAAATCCAGTTTTTTTCCTCTTCTTGCACTGACTTTAATTACTTAAGACTTAATCCTAATCTCTAAAGCTCATGTGAAAAGTGTATTCAGACAGGATATCAAAATCTAAGTGTTTTTGTGTATCAGTGTATGTGTGTGAGCGTGTGTGTATTTGTGTGTGTGTGAGTGTGTGTGTGTTCATCAGAAGCACTTGCAGCATTAAAACATCTGATGGTGTGAGATTAGAGACCTAAATCTTCTCATGTGTGTTTTTAATCCATTGTTCCCCTATTTATTTCTGCTTCTGTGCTGCAAAATAACCAAACTTACAGAAAATAAAACACCACTTCCTCCTAACCCTCATCAGGTCTTCAGTGAGTTTCCCTCATTTCCCCACTGCACTGGCTGAAATGTCCTTCTCGACACTGTGTCCACACCCTCAAATCCACAAGCCCGACTGACACTGTGCTGGAGGGTCAGCCTACCCAGCAGACAGGAACCCCTCACAGGCACTAAGGAAAATATGACAGCTGCCCATCCCCCATCACTCAGAGTTCACCCAGGCCCTCTCTGCAGGCCCCGGGATAATGGGATTCTGCCTAGACAGAGACTTGGCTCTGCCAACGTCCCAGATGATAGGGTTGTTCACTTTGGAGATAGCATCAGTTAAAAGTTCTCATTCTGCAGCTATACATTAAAATTAACAGCTGCTCTATTACTGGTAAAGGAGACCATAATAACCCAGGGTGCATTAAGGGGTAAGGTCGGCAGACACTGACCTAATCAAAAACCACATCACATAACTCTGCCAGCTCCAGACCCATGTGCAAGTGAGATCCAGGAAAAGCTTTGCCTGCTTCGAGTGAGAGGGGTATGTGTGTGTGCATGTGTGTGTGCGTGTGTGTGTGTGTGTGTGTGTGTGTTCCCATGAGAAAGCCCGTGCTACATCAGTTTATCCAGGGTCGCTTTCCCAGGCAGCTGGAAACTGCTTTCACTTTCTAAAAGTCCTGTGAGATTATCATGCACTCCTCCGACTTTTCTTCACAGCTTTATACAACTTAATATGCAGAGTGGGGAAACTGGAAATCTCCTCCAGCTCAAACAATCCCTTAAACCGGTCTACAAAAGCGTCATCTTCCTCCAGCCTGAATCTCATGGCCCAGAGGATGACGGTCGTGTCTCTGCACAGGTGGTCAAAGGTGACTAGCAGTTCATCCAGGAATGGGTGGGCGTATACCACGTCAGCCGCCAGCACATAGTCGAAGTTGTTGGAAGACCTGGGGAAGTTGGTTTCGAGATCCACACCCCAGGACAGCTCCTTCACCTGCGGAGGGTGCCTGCACTTCATTTTCGTGTTTCGTGAAACATTATACTGCAAGTTTCCAAGTAACTCGGGTAAGTCGGTGGCCGTCACCTGGGCACCTGTGAAAAGTCATTCATTCTGGTGAGAGGTGGTTTCACCATCAGATTTCTTGTCAATGAGCATTTGGCAGTGAGCATAACTGCTGGCTCCAAGGAGAAAGCGTTGGTACGTACAGGTGGGAGACCCTTTCAAAGCGCCATGGAGGCAACTCTAGGAATCCCCTTTGAAAGTTTGAGGGGGACTGGAGTGATAGTACAGCATGGAGGGCGTTTGCCTTGCATGCGGCTGACCTGGGTTCGATCCCTGGTATCCCATAGGGTCTCCCCAGCACTACCAGGAGTAATTCCTGGGTGTAGAGCCAGGACTTAACCCCTGAGCTTTGCCAGGTGTGATCCAAAAAGCAAAAAAATAAAAATAATTAATAAATAAATAAATAAATAAAGTTTGAGGGTGGTGACAGAGAGATAGTGCAGTGATAAGGGCATGTGCCTTGCACACAGCAGCCCAGCTTCAATCCCTGCAGCGCCCCCCACCCTCCCTGGCCTCATGCCTGTGTGTTGTGGAAGGAGGAAGCCTGGGCACCACCGGGTGCGGCTCTCATGGCCAGCACTCAGGACCCCGAGTGCTTGGCGGTGGGTCACTAGGAGCAGACCCCAGCCTCCCCGCCCTGCTTAGGAGGCGCCAAACAAATTAAATATATTCTTTTAAGTTTTTGATGCAGGGAGACCATTTTAATTCTATTCTCTTGTTGCTTTTGTTTCCCCTGATGCATTTTTTTGTCCCTTCCCCCAGGTATTTTGTGTTTTGTTTTGTTGCTGTTTTCTATTTACCTACGACATACAAGGGAGAAACATATTCAAGAGAGGGAGTTTCCAAACTTATGGGACTTCCTGAGAACACACCTTAGTCATTGCTGAATGATACGTTTTGGTGAATGTTTCCTGAGCCTCAGTCAGTGATAAGGAACATGCCCGTTGCCTATTCACCATCCTGGAGCCAGAGATGGTTTCATGGTTTGAGAGCATCTTCCTGGAGATGGAGATCAAACATACGGCTGAGAGTTCAAGTCCCCATGCCACCCACGTGCACCCAGGTGGTCCTGATAGTGCTGCCATTGGGATTCCCAGGGAGGAGAGGGTCCAGCAGACACTCAGAGGCTTAGAATGTACCCAGGACAGGGCCAGAGCAATAGCACAGCAAGGAGGACACTTGTCTTGCACGTGACCTACCTAGGTTTGATCCCTGGCATCCCATTAGATTCCCTGAGCACCACCAGGAGTAACTGCTGAGTGCAGAGTCAGAAGTAACCCCGGAGTATCACCAGGTGTGACCCAAAAGGCCAAAAACTAAAAAGAAAGTTCCCAGGACAGGAAGGGAGGCTGAAAGCAAAATACCTGAACTCTCATGTTCTGGCATGTTCCAGGTCAAGCCTAACAGCCCCACAGGATGGAATCCTCATAAGAGAAAAAAATTACTTACATGAATTTTTTAAAAAATGATTTTAGTGGCCAGGAAAATACCACCAAGGGTTAGACAGTTCTGCCTAGAGAAGGCCCAGACTTGAGTCCCAAGTTTGATCTCCAGCAGCACATGATGGGACTGCCTCCCTCCCCCCAACAAAATAAAGTATGTATATTAAATTAAATATATATTTGCATATAGAACGGCAAAGCCTGGCAAGCTACCCGTGACATATTCAATATGCCAAACACAGTAACAACAAGTCTCATGATGGAGACGTTACTGGGCCCATTTGAGCAAATCGTTGAACAATGGGAGGACAGTGATACAGTGATAGCATTAAATTAACTACATATGGATATATATTGAAGGGATTCCTGGTTAATGCCTGACACTCAACAAAAATTAAAGAGAAAGTATTATGACAGCATGTTTATGCCTAAGTTTTCATCTGGACCTCATTAGAAGTCTTTTATGAAATGATATTTAAATTTAGCCACAACAGGTAAGTAATACTTATCTTAAAAACGGGGCTGGAGAGACAGTACAGCAGGTAGAATACTTGCCTTGCACACAGCTCACCCAGGTTTGACTCTCGTCACTACGTACGGGCCCTTTAGGTCTGCCAGGAGTGATCCCTGAGCACTGAGCCAGGAATAAGCCCTGAGCACCCTTGGGTATGGCTCCAAAGCCAAAACAGTAATAAAAATATTAAGAGACTGATTATATTTAAAAAGGCAGGTAGAATGCGCAGATGAAAAAGACAGAAATAATTCCTGAGTTGAAAGCAGATATGGAGGTCGCTTTCAAGAAGAAAACAGAAGGAGCAAAACAGTCAAAGCCAACTCCCAATCACGGGACAGATTTCACCTTCCTGGCATGCTGTGAGCCAGAAGACAAGGCGTAGACGGGTACCGAGGTGGTGAGTGTGGCAGCATCAGACAGAACAAGGCCCAGCTGGAGAAGGACTTGAAAGACACCTTGTTTGGCCCGCATAGAAGGCAGTTTTGGGGGGAAATGTCATGGGAGAGGAGTACGCAGATCACTGCAGAACCACAGATTAACCCACAGGGAAACCCTTTGTTTTGTTTTGTTGTTTTTTTGGGGGGGGAGGTCACACCCAGCGATGCTCAGGGGTTACTCCTGGCTCTGCACTCAGGAATCACTCCTGGTGGTGCTCGAGAACCATATGGGATGCTGGGAGTCAAACCTGGGTCGGCCGTGTGCAAGGCAAACACCCTACCCGCTGTACCTATCTCCAGCCCCAAACCCTTCATTTTTAAGTGATGGACAAAACAAAGATCCCCTCTTTGGATATTTGAACCAAGTCTCCTGAACAGGTTGAAATAATGAATTCATTGGGATGAGATGAATGAGTTCCCGAAGCACAATTTCTATTCCCCAGAACTGGAAGCCTTCGGGGCATAATTCGGCTCGTACTGAAGCCAGGGTCTTGCATGTCCTGGAAGGCAGGGACAAGCTAGAAAAGGCTGGCTTTGGAAAGCAACATCGAGAGAGAACTCCCCCCACCCGAAATTGTTTTAATAATGAAGGAGGATTTCAAGATCTTCTATCTCCTTGGTGTTTAGGAAGCTGTGAGTTGCTAAGTGTCAGTTTTTCTCAAGGTGTTAGAATGGCAGATGGGCCCTTCTAAGAATCCAGGAAATCAAGACAGATTCAGGGAGGGCACCTCGAAGAGGCAGCTAGATCAGGGCAAGTAAACGGAGAGCAAAATCCAGAAAGACTCTCAGGAAACAGGTTCAGGCACACACAGAGCCACTCACATGTCTCGCTAGAGGAGAAAATGCTTGGAAAAAGAACAAAGGATCATAAAGGAGAAACAGAAATGAACTGAGAAAATAAATTGAAAGCCGACACCTAAAATTAGTAAAAGCCGACCTCTATGGAACTGCAAATGCTGCTTTCTCTATTCCAGCCGGTGCTTTTCCTTAAGAGCAGACAACCTCAGAACCCAGAAGAAATACAGGCAACAACTAAGAGTAAGTGTGAAAGATCAGAAACAGCAGCAGGGGTTGGGGGGGGGGGGGGGCGTGCTCCTGTGGGAGCGCGGTGGGGGGGGGGGGGGCCGCGGGGGCAGACTTCACACCTTTTCTCTTGCAGCCCCAGGTGGAGGGCCCCTCCTAGTCAGAACACACAGTGCTTCCGCTCCAGAACACCAGGAATAGGATTCCCAGAAGATGCAAGGAAAGCCAGGAAGGCAACTTTAACACGCGTGGAGACATGGATAAAACTCAGATGGACAATGAAGGGGCTGAAAACGGGCCCTGATCATTGTATACTGAATAGTAAATGCGACTCCCGCTCTTGAGCTGTGAGCTCTGGGCAGCCTTACGGCAAACCAGCCCACTTACCCAGCAGGCTCGCCACGATGGACACGAGCCCTGTGCCAGCCCCAATCTCAATCACATGTTTGTCAGCCAAGTCGTACTGCTTTGCATTCGTTTCCAGGAAATGACACAGAACAAGGGCCTGTAGACGTCAAAAAGAAAAAAAAAACAGAAAGAAGTTGTGTTTGGCAAGTAACAACAGAATGAAAAATGGAAACTCCATTAAAAAAATTCCCCACTGATGCTAGGATATGTTTGTGTGCACGTGAGTGTACAGATGTGAGCACATAAAAGCATGCATGTGTATATACCTGCATGTGTATGTACCTGTGTGTATATACCACATGTGTGTATATTTCTGCATGTGTATCTACCTGCACATGGATATCACTTAATCACACTTAACTTCCCGTTAGTCGTCGATTTGCTCGAGCGGGCGCCAGTAACGTCTCCATTTGTCCCTGTCGTGTGCTAGTGTAGCCCAATGGCATCTGTTCGCTCTGGGAACATGAAGAGCCTCAAATCAATTGTTCATGATCTTGACCATCTGGTAGGTGGGCGGCCATGCGGTCTTTTGACATCCTGTGGAATCCAGTCGGTAACAGCTCTAGTCCAGCAGTCGTCTTTAAATCTCATTACGTGACCAGCCCATCTGATTTTCGACACCTTGGCAAATGAGACAGCATCCCTGATTCTTGATCATCGACAGATGTCGGAACTCCGGATTCTTTCTCTCATTTGAGTGAAACGTGATATTCCAAGCATAGCTCTTTCTATTCTTCTTTGGGAGACCTGAATAGCATTCTCATCCTGTTTGCGTAGGGCCCAGGTCTCTGAGGCATATGTTAATGCAGGAAGAACAGTGGAATCAAAGAGATGTGCCCGGAGCCGGAGGTTCTTCGTCCTCTTAGCTATTTCTTCGATGTTCTTAAAGGCGTTCCAAGCCGCTGTCTTCCTCCTGCGCAGCTCGGGTGCCAGGTCATTTGTCATGTTGACTTCTCAACCTAGGTACACATAGCTGTTGCGTTCAGAGATGGTCGTTCCGTTGAGAGTGAATGGGGCATCAGTGTATATACTATGTGTATATAGATCTGCATGTGTATGTACCTGCATGTGTATATACTACATGCATGTGTATATACATGTATATGTATGTACCTGCATATACTACGTATGTGTATTACATGCTACTATCAAATAGATTCAGTAGAAGTTCAATAGGTCCAATATTTTGGCCAAAAATAATAGTCCTTGGGGATTATAGTCCCCAATTTCCCCAACATGGCCTTCAGTTGATTGTGATTGATTATCTTTAAAGAAAGGAATTTAATGACAATAGTAAGGGTGTGGGATTAGCAAATCTTTGGGAGATACTGAGCCTTTAAAATGGTCACCTGCTAGAATAATCTGCATGTCAAGACCAATAGATTTTGTTAGAATTGTTCACTTCAAGCGATGCCAGTTAAATAGGAAATAAATTTGCTATTCTAATGCTTCAGTCATTAAAGAAAAAAGAAGTCTCAGGGCATAACAAAATGATTATTCTTACAAATTTTCATAAAGTTAGACATAGAATTCATTAATAGAAGCATTTTCACAATTTCGTGCTTTCTAGATGTTAGTGTTGTTTGAGGTCACCCAGTGGAAATGTGGAACTGATTTTATTCTTCCAAATAGCACCTAGGGGCTGGAGTGATAGCACAGCAGGTAGGGCATTTTCCTTGCACACAACCAACCCGGGTTCGATTCCCAGCATCCCCGAGCACTGCCAGGAGTAATTCCTGAGTGCAGAGCCAGGAGTAACCCTTGAGTATCTCTGGGTGTGACCCAAAAAGAAAAAAAAAATGGCACCTAATTTTTTTTAATGTTTTGGTTTGGGGGCTACACCAGTCAGTGTTCAGGGCTATTCTGGTTCTGCACTCAGGGATCACTCCTGGCCAAGTGATTCCCCCCACCCCTTGTGGGGCACTGGAAATCCAACACAGGTCACTGTGTGCATACCCAGTTCCCTGCCTGCCTCGCCATCCCTCCAGCCTGCACCTAATCATTCAAAAGGGCTGAAAAGGAGCTGACATAAACCAATTTGATAGAACATTATACCGATGGCCAGACCACGGCGCCATAGCAGTCCATGGCTTCCGTGATGCGAATCTCGTTATCCACGAAATGAAAGGCCTCCCATGAGGTGGTGGTGATGAGGGCAGGCACAGAGCACCTGGCCAGGATCTCTGCCACCACAGCCTCGTCTGCATTGCCGCCTCTGCTTTCTGAAATGAGAAAGGGAAGCCGTAGTTACATTCAAAGGGGACGAACCTGGTGACAAGGCGGCATTGCTAATGGAGTTTCCATTGCTGATGGCACTGCTACTTATAACTCTGAATCTCCATGAACCTCAGTGGCTGCCCAGGAGCAGCCATGGAAGTTCCGTGAAAACAACCCACTCTCCCAGCTAATATTTCTCACCCCTGGGCAGTGCCTGTGGTTCTCATTGAGTGGGGTGGTGATGCTGTGTGACACAAGTGGTAACTGCTTAAAAGCACTGCGGGCATGACCCCAAGAGATCCACCGATCCAGCTAGAAGAGTTTCCAAAGTGGCAACACTGAACCCCAAGAAGTGGGTGCAGCTTTGCCACAGTGGGGTGTCTGAAACCACTCAAAGAAGAGGAATTCCAGCAGGGCACTGCGTGATTTTGTTCTGAAAAAAGTAATTGCTAAGCCAAATAAGTTGGGGATCTGGTCTAGAACAAGAGAAAGATTGGTGATAAAATATAAGACCCTATCTCACAGTGATTCAATAAAATATACACAAATATATATGCATATAATATATATACAAGACCCTAAGTTCCATGGCTACGCTAATACGGTTATTTCAGTAATTTAAGTAGCATATCTTTTAAGATTTGCCTTTATACAAAAAAATTACCATCATTTAATACCCTTATATTATTTTATTATTACTCATCTTTCAATTACTCATGGCATCTTAACACACAGTTCAGCCCACTCCATAAAGTTAAGCAATAGCACATGGACTGGACCGGTAGTATAGGAGGGAGGGCACTTGCCTTGCATGAGGCTGACATGGGTTCAATCTCTGGCTTCCCATATGGTATCCTGAGCCCTGCCAGAATTGATTCCTTAATGCAGAGTCAGGGGTAACCCCTGAGGACTGTCAGGCGTGGCCCCAAAACAAAAGCAAATAAAAAAGCCAAAGAAGAACATTGGAAGCCTTCAGAGCCCTAGTGGTAGAGCACATAACCCACAGATGCTAAGGCCCTGAGTGCTCCATCCCTGGCATCCATGTCTCCGAGCACCACCAGGTGGGTCCTGCAGCTCCAGCACCACCAGCCAAGCACCAAACTTACCAGGGCCTGGACTCAAGCTGAGCATCAAGGACCGTGGCCCTGGGGGGGGGGGGTGTCCCACCCCAGCACCATTGAATGTGACCCTTATAAAAATTGTGTGTGGGGGCAGGAGAAATAGCACACCAGGTAAGGTGCTTGCCTTCACATGTAGCATACCCAGGTTCTATCCCTGGTACTGCATCTGGTCCCCCCAAGCACTGCCATGGGTGCTTCATGAGCATTGAGTCAAGAGGAAGGCTTGAGCACAGCTGGACATGGTCCAGAAAGAACAACCCCCAAATAGTGTATGGATGGATAATAGCCACCAATTGTAGATTCTAGGTATCTGTGGCAGAGAGGGGATGTCATTGTGACATGCCAAATAAAGACAGGCACTTAAGGAGAAAGATCTTTGAACAGCCTGGCTGAAGAATGGTCCAAGAACAGGTGAACTGACAGATGAGAAAACTCTGCCCCCTTCCACATGAACACAGCCACCATCTCTGGTCCCCTCACAGCTTCTCATTGAAAGAGAGGAGATGCTTCTCTCTGGGTAGCACCCCACCATATTGATGGACAGTTTGCACCCCACCATGTTAATGGGTAGTTTGCACCCCTCCATGTTGATGGGAAGTTTGCACCCCTCCATGCTGATGGGCAGTTTGCACCCCGCCATGTTGATGGGTCAGTTTTTGTCCTCATGGACGGTAACTATGCCTTACAAAGCTGACACAGTGACTTCTTTTTAACATTATTTCTAAAAGAAAGATCTGAGGTGAGCATCATTTTATTCTTAAAATGAGTCCCAAAAACTGGGAAAGGAGGAAAATAGGCAAAGAAAAAAATAATAATTATGGGTCCAGAATTTTAAATTCAAGGCTCAAGTGAAGACCTCAGAGACTCCTCCATCCTTCTACTCTAGTGAGACAGGAAAGGAGCAAGGGGTCTAGAGCCTTACGGGTTTATGGTCCTGAGGGTGGGGAGGGCCACCCAGCTCTGCCCACTGAACTCCAGCCTCATCTTTCCCGAGTACTCAGAGGGCACAAGAGCAATTCGGGAGTCAGGTCAGCTACCAAGGACCATCTGCCACCTTGGATTCCTACCCCGGATTCCTCATCAGAGCACTTCCCCGGAACCAGACAGAAGCAGGCATTGATACCCCCAAACTTCACCCCAGTTACTCTGCCCTGCCCACACCCTGGTCCTCACCACCAGTTCTGCCCTTGGGCAAAGATGACAGAAAGCAAAGCCAAGAGCCATCAACTGTATCTGAACAACACCGGCTCTTCTCATCTCTCACCATGATTCCCTCTGATGACCGGCACCACAATTGACAAAGTCGTTCATGAGAGAGTGTCTGGTGTGCAGCGTCCGGACACCGATCTCACCCCCAAGGGCAGTTCCCCTTTACCAATGTCCCTGCTGTCTCTCCTGCACCTCAGCCCAGCCTGTCTGCTGGAGTCTGGACCTCCCACGGGGAGTCCTGTCAGCCCTGTGGTTGGGATTCTTCCCCGACAGCACCGTTCCCCATTCGGGATGCGCTCCAGGCACCCAATAATAATGGTAATGGGTTTTATGTGAACTTTAACTTTCATTTCACTATATTCACTTGCCTGCTAAGCGGGTGGGCGGGGAGGGCGGCTCTTTGGGGAGAAGCTGAGAACATTAATTGCTTCCTTGACCTTTAGCTCACCGTGCCTTCCTGGGTGTTTGCTGCTCCAGTAAAGGCAGCTCTGCCCTGACAGGTCACCCACCGTCTCCGGGATTAATAGATGTGAGAGCACGCCAAGTCCCAGGAGCGGCTCCTCAAGTTCCCGTTTTTGATATAAAAACTTTGCCAGTTAATATTTGCTGCTGCAACTTGATGTCTCTGACATTGCGCTTTCATTTATTGGTGAGCTGACCGCCTTAAACGCTGCTGTTCTAACCACGGCAGAGTAACCAATGGTTTCCATCTTTGTGTGTCATTTAAACAATCTTTTATAAAGACTACATCACTACCTTTCTGAAAAAAATAAGGTTTATAATACATAAGAATATATTATTTTAATTTAAAAAAGTCACCAAAGAATATTCAAGAGAACCTCCTAGAAGACATTTAAGAGATCTCATGAAACCCATCTACCATGGGTTTCCTGTGTAAAAGACATATGCATGAAACAATAAAAACAGTATTGATCATTGATTTCATGTATAAAAGAGCACAAATGGATAGATCACCACAAAATGAAAATGATGATAGACCCTATGAAAAACATTTTCAGGTTGACCCAATTTTAACTGACATTTCTTATCAATGTGTTTCTATTTGCATTTAAGTACTCTGTGAAAACAACTGGCATAAGAATGATACTCATAAAGATTAGAATAATTTGTTCCCCTGGAAACCAAAACGTGCTGAACTTAGAAACTTCATTTGTCTAGATGAGCTATGTGGGATTTTAAAAGCAGAGATAGCACAAGGAATAAAGTGCTTACCTTGCACAGAGCTGACCTTGGTTTGGTCCCCAGCACTGAATATGGTGCCCTGAGCACCACCAAGAGTGACCCCTGAGCCCAGGAGTAAGCCCTGAGCACCATTTAGTGTGGTCCTCAACCAAAAAAGTAAAATAAAAGCAACTACACACAGACTCATAAGCATAGCTACTTTCATCCTAAAATATTTGTTTTTAGCATTAACTTCTAAGGATTTTGTGGGAATGGTGTTAGTGGTGCTTATTACTTAAATCAAAGACCTGTTTGACATTAAGCCTCAAGAATACCACCGTCCACTTCAAAGTAATGGCAAGGTAACTCCAGTCTCATGGAGGGAGCTACATGCTAAGCTTCCTGTGAAAGAGAGATAGCCATGCTCCTGAGACAAATGACAAAGGAGGGTCCCTTTAGCACGCATGTTTGGTCATTTGTTAAGTATAAAATTGAACCCTGAGAAGATCAGTGAATTAGTAGATGGCCCGTATTCTTTGGTCTTTAGTTCAGGCCTGACAATAAATTTCCTCCAAAAAATTAAGAGCAGTATCATCCAGTGGAATTTTAACGGACACTTCAGAAAAATGACTTTTTTTTTTTGCTCTTTGGGTCACACCCGGTGATACACAGGGGTTACTCCTGGCTCTGTGCTCAGGAATTACCCCTGGCGGTGCCCAGGGGACCATATGGGATGCTGGGAATCGAACCCGGGTCGGCCACATGCAAGACAAACGCCCTACCCACTGTGCTATTGCTCCAGCCTCGAAAAATGACTTTTCTACACATACTCTCTCCTTGTTGCCTATCCCCAAGACAAATATCTAAAACCAGGTACTGTTACACAAAATGTCTATTTGGGGTGAGGTGGGCCTACAGCCTTCATAGTTCAGGGGCTATTCATGACTCTGGGTTCTGAGATCATCCTGGCAGATATCAGGGACCATGTTGTACCAAGGACCAAATGGGAGTTGGCCCCATGCAAGGCAAGTGTCTTCCCCTCTCAACTCTCTTTCTAGTTCCCAAATTCACAGTTTAAAAAGCAGAAAACTGGGTGGCTCTGAGGTCAATGGGTGAACCTTTCGAGTGTGAGACCTTGAGCTGATGCTTGCTGCCTTCCACATCCGCTGGGCACAGGCCGTCTAGCTCTTCATGACAGGATGTGCCACCTTCAGAGCACCACATCCAGGCACATGGGAGCACCACTGCTGAAAGCGCACCACCTGCAAAGGCCCTGCAACTCAAGGGCAGGCAGGAAGCGGAGTGCAGCCCTCAGGGACACCTGGGCCCAACATCCGGGAATGCAACCAGACCTCAGTGACTTCAGTCACCTCATCCATGGAAGGGAAGGGAAAGGGAAAGAAATAAATACAATTAAAATAAATAAAACAGCTCTCTGGAAAGAAAGATGGCGGCCGCACGGGAGCCTTGTGGACAGCAGGTTTGAGCCGGGG